TTTAATGTCTGCAATTCAGTGGGGTGGTAATGGCTTCCTCCATTATTCAGAGTCTTTTCACCATATGCCCTCATATAAAGAAAGCTGGGTCTTTCCCCTATAGGGGAGACCTTGCTAGGATGCATAGAGTCCAGGATTTGCAAGGACATGCATATTCCAAAAAAATACAGTGGTGGAATATGTCCTGCTTTAAGAGATGACAGGGCCAGAGCCGTGTTACATTTGGATTATTTTGGCTATTTTAAGCACGTTTACAATTTGAAGAAGACAGTACTATGCTGAACCTCTTACTCCCTCTGCTTCCCCCCCCCCATATGCTGTGAATTTATACTGTCCTTGACATTAGAGTGTTTTTCTTCTGGGAGGATTTTTTTGCTGAGTCTGTTTGAATGAAACATTTGCAATATCCCTTGCCTTGATGCAGATTTTCCCAACGGCAGCTGCCTCTGTCCAAACCCAACCCCTGTGGTCAACAGAAGAAGAAAGCGCGTGTAGCCAAGTGTCAAAGGTGACGAGTCTTCATTAAAATCCCATTCTGAAATGCAGCTCTCTCAAAATGGCACCTCTGTACTCCACCGATCTGCTCCCTGGCCGCGCTGTGAACTGCTAAAGTCAGCAAATGTGAATAAAATAAAGTTTTAAACTAATTTTTAATCCTGCTGGCACAGCAGATCCAACATAGCGATGGGAAAAATGAAGTGATTCTATTCGGGCTTCAACATCAGTGGGATGGTGAGCTACGTTCCCACCCATCCCGCCTCTCCATCCTACTGAAACACTGGGATTGGTGAGGGTCATACGTGAAGGTAGTGGGTTTGCACAGATGTGACTGAGGACTTGGTTTGTCCTGCAGAACTCTTGTTCTTGGTAATAACATGCAAGGAAAGGAAAAGGAGGAGGAAGGGGAGGAACTGTTTTTGTTCTGAGCCCACAGCTGAATGGAAAGAGCTGGGAAGGAAATAAAACAGGATTTTTATTTGTTAAATTGAGCATGTTTGTGTCACAGAGAACCACCATGGCCACCATATTTTTGAAGTTGTTTTTAAAGTCTACGCTTTGGGGATGTGAACAACTTAGGTCTTTCTTTTATATATCTCTATTTATATTTATATATATGTATAAAAGAAAGAGCTAAGGTTTTCACTTTCCTGAAGCGCAGACTTTAAGAACGACAAAAATTGAGAGTTGGCAGCACTGCTCTGCTAAAACTCATCCTTTCCACTGAGCAAGTTCAAAAGCAACTTTCTCCAATTGCTTACTATTCTCCGTTTTTAATTTTCCCCTTCAACCTAACTAAAAGCTCTGCCCTCCAAGCTAACTAGGCACTACCACCCTTACTCATGTAAATGCAGTTGGCTCTAACCCCAAACCCCTGATAAGGATTGTGTCTCTGAAATAGTTCAGATTTTAACCTTCCTGCATTTGTCAAGGTAACAACTGAAAAAAGTGCTTTTTTTTCCTTTTATGATGGGGAAACTGCATTTCTCACTCCATTTTTCTTAGTCCTTTATGTAGCTCTAGCCCTCATGTAGACTCCAGACCCTGAGAGTTGTAGAAACCCAGATGAATGAAATCTATAAAAGCCTCCATGGCCTCAGCTGAAAAGGGTACGGCCCTACCACCCTGCAGAGACCAGGCAAAGAAAAGTTAAGGCCAGAGGTGAGTGTGGCAGAAGTTACAGAGGTGTCCAAACAGAGCTATAATGCCATACAGGTTGCACCTGTAATGATCACAGGAACTTTTAGGTGGCAGCAATAAAAAGAAAAGAAAAGCTGCCAATGCAAAGACTTCACAAGGTTGCCCCAAAAAGAGCCTAGCTGAAAATATAATTATAAGTGCCATTTTGAATTGCTGCCGCAGGTAGAACAAAGAAGCTAAAAGCATTCCCAGAGGCTTAAGCAGCTTGCAGACTGCACCTAGCACTGGCATTTTGGCACTGGGATTTTCCCCCCGCAAGACGCATCCCATAGTGAAAGCATCATGGGGTCTGCTATGTGTTAATCCTCCAGCCCCTGCTAAGGGAGCCAACCCTGCTGCTGCAGAAAAGGTCTGCTCGCCTTCCGCATGCCCGTGGGCTGGTGACGTACACACATCGATTTCTGCCCCGTGTGTCTGGCAGCCTGCTGAAGGTGCAAATCAGTGAGTGTACAATCATTCACTGCGGGAAGAGGGATTCAAATTTGCTGCGATCTAAACAGCAGGGCAAAGGGGCTGAGACAAGGGAGAGATGCAGAGCTTGAAGTCTTAACAGCCTTTCATATTTTATACGGAGCAGCTGCTACTCATTCCTATTCACATGTTGTGCCTTCGGCGAGTCCTTTGCTGCCTCTATTTAAACTACTATTGGCCTCATTGTTAAACTGTGTTCTTGGCTATATTTCCAAGTGTCTTTGCTCAGCCTCCACAAAGGCTACTTCCTCCAGATCAGCTTACCCCTGCCCCTGCAGCATTTTGTTATCGATAGCGGTTTTTTGAGAGGGGAAGGAAGTGGAATATGGTGGTGGGTACAGACATGAATTGGGCTGAAGGTTATCTAACCACTGGTTTCCGTATCTGGCCCTCGTGTCTGGGTGAGCGAACAGCACCGCCTACCAGAGCTCATCCTCTCTGTGATTGAATACACTTAGTCACTTCCCTATCTGCAACCACATCTTAATGCTCTCCATTGTGGTGTCCTCCAAACCAACTCAGCTACTCAGTGAACATGCAGCCCCCAGGATCCCATCGGCTCTTCGCCTTGCCTTGCTTCCTCTTGCTCTGGCTGGAGGGTCTTGGGGCTCCCCCTCCCTCTCCTGGCTCCCACTGCCTGACCCAGCCACGTGGAGCAGGACAGGGTGGTGTGGTGCAGCCGACGGTGTCAAATGAGTTGCCTGTGTTGGGGGACACACTGGCAGCTGCGCCATGCAGGGGCAGCCGTGGGGCTACCTGCCCCCATGCCAATGGTGCATAATGCCCGTCTGCCCATGATTTGCAGCAGAGCGGGGGGGCGGACCTGCCCAGGCACGTGCGTGGCACATAGGCTGGGGGGGCCTGTAGCCCCTGTTGGTAGGCTGGGAGCCACACGTCCCAGGGGTGCTTTGAAGATGGACGGCCCTGGCTTATGTCATGCATTGTCATAAGGAGACGTGACGGTGGATGAGCCTGACTTGGCACTGGAGGAACGCAGGCTCCAGCCCCGGTGGTGGAATATCTGAGTGCAGAGGCAATAAACTGCCCACAGCTCTCCTCCAGGCTTGGACCAGAGGGGGAATAGGGACAGGGAACCCAGGAAGCACCTGATTTAGCACATCTCCCAGGCAGCTCCAGCTCGGACCTTGAAGCTGCTCGCACCTCTGGTTAAGGCCTTTCCCCAGGGATCAATCCTCCCCTCAAGCACTGTGGCCCCTGTGCAAGCTGCACTTCCCGTGGCTATGAGGTAAATCAGGTCCATTAGTCCAGGACATGTTCAAGTAGATTAACTGTATCCACCCTTTTCAATATTGTCAGGAACCTTAAAATGCCAGATACTCCTGGGCATCTTCATGGGGAGGTCACAGCCTACCTTCATCCCTCACAGTTGCTGCATTTTGCAGGATTCTCCCTGTTTCGGGGTCCGGGGTCCCATGACCAAGTACTGGTGTTCACCCGGAGCGTATATGTTTGCCTCCTGCCAAGATGTTGTCCAGGCACACTTCCCGTTTTGCTTTATGACTCAGTGGCATAACAAGGGTTGAGCCACTGGGGAAACCACCCCGGGCACTGACGTGGGGGTGGAGGAGTGGAAAAAACAGTTGCCACTGCAGCCATGCAATCACCTCAGCAGCCTCTGTGTGGGGCAGCTGCCCTGGGTGCCCAGCTGTGTCATTATACCTCTGGTCTAACTCATTCCTCTCCACCGGGTGTTTTTGTATATGCCCCATGTCACTTGAGCTTCTGCATACCTAGGGTAGGTTCACTGATGTACAAAGCTGTAGGATTACTTAAGATGTCAGACAGGTTGGCAATGCTTTTGGGTTGAGTGCCCAAAAACTGCACAGCCTGGACTTTAAAGATGCTGGCACACTAGGATGAACAGTGGGGCAGCCACAAGAGACCTGATCCTTGTTGTGGCAGTGCAGACCCTGCCCCTTCCCTGCCGTGTTCTCTGAGGTGCGTGTGCAGCTGCTGCCAGTAACGGGTTGGGCTGGGGCTCTGGACCCCGGTGCAGCTGCCTGCTACAAGCAGCCTGGGCTCTGGGCAGGCCCCTGCCAACTACCAGACAGCCGGGCTGCTTGCAGCAGGCAGCCAAGAGCCTGCAAGCGGTTGCACCAGGGTCCAGAGCCCTGCTGTGGCCAGCACTGGCTGCACGTGCGTTGCAGGGCATACAGCAGAGAAGGGGCTGGGGTTATACAGCCCCAGGTTCCTTCCCCACCATGCAAAGTGTACATGCAGCTGCTGCCATCCATGGCGTTGGGCCAGGGCTCTGGACCACAGTGCACCAGTTGCAGCCTCCCAGCTGCCTGTCACATCCAACCCAGACTCTAGGCAGCTGCTGCCTGCTGTGAAGCCTGGGCTGCTTGCATCAGGGCTTGCAGCCTCTCCACTGCCTGCTGAAAGTAGCTTGGGCTCTATGGCCAGTGGCAGCTGTCCAGACCTGGACCAGCTTTGGCATGCCAGACAAAATGGCTTCATGTGCTGTGCTCTGGCATGTGTGCTGACCCAGGATATAAGATATAATACAAATAGAAATCCTGATATAACCTGATTAAGCAGCAGTACTATTGTTTTTGTAATGCTGATGGATGCATTAGGTAATGTATATATGTTCCCTTTGCTTTTATCCCTTATATTAGTGTATCCCAGGTGCTCATTTTCATTCAAAAGCTTGTCTAACTTTATCCCAACTACATAGCTAGTCCAATAAAAGATATCACCCTGAGAATTCCTTCCCTGTTGCATTTTCACTCTGTCACTTAGCCCTTTGGAAATGTTGTGCTGGTCTGGAGCATGCCTACATCCACCACCGTCTATTCAATTACAAGTGAGGGTAAGAAGTCTGCTATTTTTTTTTTCATTTCAGAAATGTACAGTACTTTGATATCAAACTCTTGCTTTCTCCAGCAGGAGATGGGTCACTAAGCTGATGACTTGTGGATTAACCAAACAATCCAGCAAATCGTTTGTAGAAATGGCTGTTTGTGATGAGTTTGCGCTGGTGTCTGAACGCATTGGATCTGTTAGTGTTTCATAGTCATTGCTCATTATGGATTGCTTTCCAGTGCAGTGTAATTTTCCAAAATGTCCTCCTTCATTTTCGCTGATCAGTTCTCTATGGTCACTTTCAACTACTCTGACTCCTGTTGAGCTTGTTTCTTGAGATGCTGGCAAAACTTGAATAAGATGTGGCCCAAAAAGTATTTTCTCCTCCTCTTCTGTTTTACCTGTTGGAAAATCAGCTTCTTTGTTGTCCTCTGCTTCAGCCATTACTTGTGTTTTCCTCCTTTTGCATGAAGTGCTCATCATTCGATCTGTACAATGGCTGCTGGGATATCTGTGTTGTAACACACGGGCCTTCTGATATTCCAAATATGCAGACATAGCTCCATTTAAGTACTGAAGATTGATTTCATGCGATGTGGCCTCGACCTAAAGCAAACAGAATGACATAGCTAAAAGAGTACATTTCTTTTCAGTCATTATCTTCTCTGGGTCATTCTTTACTACACAAAAGGCACTTACAGATTTCTTTTATGGGCAAAGATGACTCACAGTAAGTTAAGCAAAATGTCAGTAACTCGAGGCTATCACTGCTAATGGAAACAAAAGAGAGCTTACTTCTGTAGGATTTAGCCAGGCGCCTGCACTGCCAGGGTGTTCTGCAGATTTTATGGCACATACAAGTGTTCGAGTTATTGCCTCTTCCACACGGGCTTCATGATCTGCATCCTATCCCAAGAAAAGAGAAAGATAAATTGGAGGACAGGTAGCATTTTAGAAGCCTGTGGAAAGCCTGAAGGCCTTGGAAATAACCAAAGTAAGGGCCTTCACTTGAAAATACTTATTTACTTTAGAAGGATCTTTTTGAAGACAGCAAGGTGGCTCTCATGTGAGGTCCCACTGTCTTACCCGATTAAGGAAGTTTCATAGATTTCATAGATTTTAGGGTGGGAAGGGACCTATTAGATCATCGAGTCTGACCCCCTGCCCTGGGCAAGAAAGAGTGGTGGGGTCACATGACCCCAGCCAGGTGTTTGTCCAATCTCCTCTTAAATACCTCCAAGGGAGGGGACAGCACCACCTCCCTTGGAACTGTATTCTGTATTTTGGCAACCCTCGCTGTAAAGAATTTTTTCCTGATGTCCAATCTAAATTTGCTCTCCTTCAGTTTGTGGCCATTGTTTCTAGTTACCCCGATGGGTGCTCTGGTAAACATCGTATCCCCTATCTCCTGCTGTCCCCCCAGTGAGTGTGTAGATGGCCACAAGATCACCTCTCAACCTCCTCTTGCGGAGGCTGAAGAGATTCAGTTCCCTCAATTGGTCCTTGTAGGGTTTTTCTTGTAGGCCTTTAGCTAGATGGGTGGCCCTCCTCTGTACCCTTTCCAGGTTATCTACGTCCCTCTTGAAGTGCAGCACCCAAAACTGGACACAGTACTCCAGCTGTGGCCTGACCAATGCCGCATAGAGGGGAAGTATCACCTCCCTGGACCTGTTTGTGATGCACCTACTTATGCAAGAAAGGATGTGGTTAGCTTTACTTATTACTTCATCACACAGGTGACTCATGTTCATTTTGCAGTCGACTACAACTCCGAGATCCCTTTCCGCAGTTGTGCTACTTTGAGCAGTGCCTCCTGGGCTGTAGGACTGCTGATGGTTCTTCCTCCCCAGGTGCAACACATGGCACTTGTCCTTGTTAAAATGCATCCTATTCTGTTCTGCCCACTTCCCCAGCCTGTCCATATCCATCCGAATTCACTCCCTGCCCTCCAGTTTGTGTACCTCCCCCTATAGTTTGGTGTCGTCTGCAAACTTGGACAGGGTGCTTTCTACTCCCTCGTCCAAGTCACTAATGAAGTTATTGAATGATACCAGTCCCAGGACAGAGCCTTGGGGGACTCCGCTGCCCACCCACCACCACTCTCTGGGTGCATCCCCTGTGTAATAAATAATCTACATTGCAACTGTTTAGTTTATTTATAAGAATTGGGTGAGGCACTCTGTCAAAGGCCTGTTTAAAATCTAAGTAAATAACATCTACCGCTATTCCTTCATCCAAGTGTTTTGTGACTTGGTCCAAGAAAGAAACCAGGTTAGTCAGGCAGGATCTGCCTGCTATGAACCCATGCTGGTTTCCCCTTAGTACTGTTTTACCCACTGGTCCCCCACAAATGTGATCCTTAACAATTTTCTCAAAGGTCTTGCCCAGGATAGAGGTGAAGCTAACTGGCCTATAGTTACCTGGTTACTCCGTTCTCCTCTTCTTGAAAACAGGGACCACACTGGCCCTTTTCCAATCCTCTGGGACCTGACCTGATGGCCATGAGTGTCCCAAGTGTTGCGCCAGTGGATCTGCTATGACTCCAGCTAATTCCCTAAGTACCCCAGGATGAAGATCATCAGGGCCTGTTGACTTAAATACATCCAACCCCTCCAGGTGCCCCTTTACTAGGTTGAAGGCATAGGTTCCCACTTGCACCCCTTCCCCTTGTTAGTGCTTTGTTAACTGGATCTGAAATAATACTGCGCAATGCCAGTGTCTAATTGAAGACTAGAACACAGCTCCTCTCCTTAGCAAGGAACACAAGAACACTTTTAAAATAATTTAAGCACTTAAAATGCACAGAGGATGTTATAGCGAGATGTCAAATGCTTCAGGCGCTATTAAGGCACAAAACCAATTCCTAGGAAGCATGTCATGCAACAGCAGCACACGCCTGCTCGTACTGCTGCACACAACAGAAGGGAGAGAAAACAAATGTTTCCTTTTATGAAGGATGCTGATGTGCTTGTCAGAACTAAAAATAAATAATAAGTAATTGATTCTTGGGTGTTGGAGACCTTCATGCCTCCCTCCATCCCTTGGGCAGATGCACACAGGCTACTTCGGAAGATTAGAACAGATAAAGGTATAAATGTATGAGACAATTCAAAGTCTCTGCCTTTTATTTAACAGAATTTCTTAGGTCTGGAGAGGAAGTAAGGAAGCTTTAATTAGGGTGTGAGGAGAGGCTTAGCCTTTAGACGTTGTAGTCGTGGGTGCATCAGAAAAGGATCCATAGTTCTGGATTCACTTGTGCTTTTTGAAGGAAAGCTGGGTTTTGGAAGAAATGGCAGCGTGACATAAGTAAACAGGCAGCTACAAATGATGAAATGCTGCTTTGGGTAATGAATAATCAATATGTGTTATGCAAGCCTGGCTGGGAAGGGTGCTAAAGGCAATAATGCAACTTGGCTTCTCAGAGGAGAACGTGCGGTACTAGTTAGACAAGATACTGCTGCTGGGGTTGTGTGTGTGCAATGAGGAAATGCAGGGTGGGGACTGTCATG